CCCCAAAACCCCAAAACCCCAAAACCCCAAAACCCCTATTTAATAATAAAATATTGAACTGGAATATTTTGAGAATGAAAACAAGGTAAAATGGAAGCTAACCTTGCAGAAACAAGATTAATCTTTGCCCGTATGCAACTTCACCCAGTGTGGCGATGCCACTCAAGCGAAATATAAACAGTAGCAAAATGGCTATTAAAAGAGTCGTTCGAAAGAACCAGCAGTATTTCGATATGTAAGTTCTTAGAATTTGTTTTTCATCACAGCTTACTCGGGAGAGCCTGCCTAGCTTTTCTGAACGGGTTCAAGCAGCAGCTGAAATTTATGGATTGTAGAGTTAATGCCAGGAGCATGATGAAAAAAGGTCGCAAGAGCTTCGTACCTCCTAAAACCTAAGAAAAACACCTCTAGCCATAGCTTTACCTTGAAGAATGGGTCAAGGGAGCTCAGTCTGGAGGACAAGAACCAGCTGAGCTGCCATAATGACTGTATGAAGATTAAGAACAGCACCTCTATTGAACTGAATTCAAGATTTAGTAGTGGCATAAAGGCTAAATTAAAGAATAAAATACTTAGTAAGAAGGTAATTATACGGAAAAGATAGCTCACCAAGTACTCTCATCTTATAAATTGTACAATCCGCTCTTGATCGTGTAGAAAGTATTACCTTGGGAATGGCTTAAACGAACTCATTTAGTAGTATTTCAATCGAACAATTTAAAAATCATAAGTTAGTTAAGAAATCGGATTTGATTATCTTATTGAAAAATCTCTGGCTTAAAAGCTGTTATTGGCACTTTCGTTTAATCTTCCATTTGACTGAGATGATGCTGTTAAGAGCCCTGCTAGGAAGTGGCCCATACAGCATGAGAAACTACACAAGCGTTGGTAACCAATTGGTATAGTTTACAAGCAGAAAAATTGAAGATATCATGAGTAAGTTACATTACATAACCAGTAGATAAGCTCAAGGCTGATGCACATAAGTCTAAGCTGAAAGGTATCAACTTGGTTATGATCTCTACAGCACCTTCTGATTCGAAGGGCCAGCTCTATTACAGTGCTATTCAGACAGCTTGAAATGAAGTTGTTAAGATCTGTCCGATTGTTAAGCCCCTTTTGGACTTCTTACGACTAGAAATCATCAGAAGTAGTGGAGGGGAGGGCAAAGAGCCTGATAAAGGTAAGCCAAATGAGCTTCAAAGTTTTCCAGCCCCTATTTCTCATAGTAACAAATGGCTTGTTTAGCTCCAGTCGAGTTCAGGAAGAGCAAGTCTCAAGCCAACATCGCCCGTTTGATTAAAGTATGGCTACTTGACGAATGATATTTAGGATGAAAAGGAGAAAATGGTCAAAGAGATCCACCAAAGACTGGAGGAAAATCTCGGTAAAACTGCTTCTAAACAATAGATCTGGATGCTTACAACATAACCAGTGATGATTTCAGGTCTGCCACGCCCCAGATGAAGTAACTCATGGTTTCTAAAATGATAGGAGCAGGTACAATTTACCAAAACTGGACTTCAAGAAGATATTCGAGTGGAGAGAGAAGGCAAATGTGATCAAGAACAACGGTAAGACCCTCCTAGGACCATCTAGATGTGGCTAACTGAGACATTGATGATGAGAAAGGCCTCCAGAAAGGCAGCGAGATATTCTTCTGATCTGGGGACACCCTTAATTTCACCTCTTCTCGAGAGAAGGAGCTTCATGAAAAATAAGCAGAATGTGCTAAAACTGATGAATAAAAATTTGTTTGACATAAGAAGAAAGGTAACATCTCCTTGGTAACATCTTTTAGGAGCTATCGAATAGCGTGAAGAAGACGGTGATTGACAAGGATCTTATTGACTCACTTGAGTAATCGGCAGGGCCTCTGTCTCTCTTACTCTCCTAGCCTTCTTGAACCAATTAGGTCAAATCAAATGAGGTTAAATGCATAATAATCGCATATTTGAGGGTCAGAGAATGTCACTTATGGCATGTAAACAGTTAATTGGAGAGATAATTATTCAACATAACTATTAATCAATCAAAATTTGTGTTAAGGGGTTTTGGGGTTTTGGGGTTTTGGGGTTTTGGGG